AGAAGTTAAGCTATTTGAGAGCAAAAAGATCAAGTCTGATTTGCAAAGCAACATATGCGAGATACAAGTGTGCACGTCTGAAGCTACATGAACTAAGATAGAAGAACCAGTTTCATCATTGTGTTTATTCTAAGTTTAGTTCAATTGTAGTAGGTTTTCATATTGTACCTTTCAGCTTTCATAGAAGCAATTGTAATAGGTATATTGAGTATTCAAGTTAGAGTTAACTTGAAAGTGTCGCAACAGTTGAGGCTGTGTGCTACACTGGGATTAGAGTTAATCCTTAGGTTTACAAAGAGTTTTGTAAATGCAGTTTTTGGCTCAGTGATTTTAGTGGAGTTTGGGAAAATCCTACTGAGTAGTAGGTCGTGGTTTTTTCACCTTTTGAGCCAGGTGTTTTCCACGTAAAAATCTCTGTTCACTTTACTTTCAGTATTTATTATTCCGCAAACTGCTGTAGTTAGAACACTTAGAAGAACCAGGTTCTTCTAACGCGAAAATTAGGTACCACACAAATCACCCCCCCTCTTGTGTGGTATTGACGTTTATAACATCAACTGGTATTAGAGCAGGTTATCCTTGAAGAGGTTAACACCTTAGGAAAAGATCAACATGAGTGCACCACCTGGGAACTGGGAAGGGCAATCCACTGCCAGGCCTCCTCTCTTCAATGGCCTCTACTACTCCTGGTGGAAAAACAGAATGAGGGACCATATAATGGGCGAAGACTATGAGTTTTGGGATATCATCACTGATGGTCCTTTAGCCACAACCAAGAAGAATTCTGAAGGAGTGGATGTTCCAAAGACAAGAGTAGATTGTACTACTGAAGATCTAAGGAAATGGGAGAAAAATGCAAAAGCCAAGAAATGGTTAGTGTGTGGACTTGGTCCTGATGAGTACAGCAGGATTCAAGGCTGTACTACTGCCAAGGAGAGAACATCCTGAACACATATTGGAAGAAGTTGATATAAATCAAGTAATAATTATAGAAAACGAGGAAGAAGAATCAATTGATGAAGCTCAAACTAGTGAGGAAGAAGAATTCTCGGACGAGGAACTATACGTCGATCAGCTTTAAAAAGTTGGTTTCTTTAATAACTCATGTTATAGCTAGTTTCTTTATATGTTTCAATCTAACTTTGTATTATGTCATGCAGATGTCAGGCAAGGGTCGAGGTAACAGTGATCCTACTGGTTCTCGGGGTAGAGAAAAGCCTAGGAAACAAAAGAGGAGGGTAGAAGGTATTACTCAATCCGTTCCTGCCTCTTCACAGATGCCTGTGCCTGCACCTCCACCCCAGGGCTATTCTGAGCTGCCAGCGCATGTCCAGCCCTACACCTTCGTGCAGACGCCTGGTCTTTCTTCACAATGCCATAGGACTGTACGACCTACATACAGTCCACCTGTATCATATCCACATAGATTGCATCCATCAGCAGCTCATGGATCGCATCGATCCATTTCACATCCACATGGATCACAGCATCCGTGTCACAGCCACTCGGGTC